TCATCGCTGGAGGCGATTCCCCGTACACCAGCGATGTCCAAATTGGCAAATGCGAAAAGTTATTATTCTGTCAGTCACGTATTTTTCAGTTTTCGTATTAATCCTTAACCAGTTAACTGCGTTCAACGAGTATACACGTCAACTTCAAATCAAAATGATACTAATTATTTTAACGATCAATTATTTATTATTTCGAATAAACATGTAACTCTTCTTCGTTTTGCTGTAATCTATCGTTAGAATATATTATAGGTGCATGTGGCCTGCGTTAGGCGAGTATACACTTAATTATTTGATTTCATTGCGAGCATTATTAGAGATTTTTGAAATTGAATTCCACAGTTAACAAGTTAGCGATTTGAAAATATTTTAAATTTATTTACTGCTTTCCATAAAATGCTCAGATAATGAAAATAAATGAACTACGAGGAACCGATGTAGCAGTTAATTTATTAAATGAGAATATACCTAGTACATTGCGGGGCATAAGTAGAGTATCACCAGAATTTTTACAAATATTATACTTTAAAAAAATCATTTGTCAAAACCAACTGTACTAAATGAAAAATGGTTCAAAACGTATAGAAAATTAAAAACAAAGTGGCGTAAACAAAGAATTCATAATATTATTTAGTGCAATAAAGTTAATACACACATTCTAATTGTTTTGAACGTTTGTGGGTTTTCTTCAATGAACTTGTTTCAATGAATATTGAAAAATGTCGTGAAAAATGTTCGTGTTCTTGTTCATATGCGCTCCAGTTATAATACCTCAAAAGGTGGCGCGCATATATAAATAGCTTACTTACCAAATCGATTACCTCCATAAAACAAAAACTGGAGAAAAGTGATAAAATAATATACTATGTTTTTTAAAATTCCTTTTAAATTATAAATTCAAATAAACATCGCAAAATGTATTACTACAGATGTATCTTTTATTTAACAACATATAAAATGTATAAAATAGAATATCCTTGAAGTAATCGTTATTATTACTACAATTTTTGCATGATTAAGGCAGTTAATCGATTTGGCAAGTAAAAATGATATGAAACTGAATCGTTATCTTTTTTACATTACAGAAAAACTTCATTATATAATATTATAACGATATGTTTTCCCCTTTTTTAAAAACTGACACTAAAATTGAAACAATTGTTTAAAAATTTGCAAGTAACTGCTTCAGTGGCAGTTTGTCTATAACAGATTAAATGTTTTTTATATTTCATTTGTTTTTGTGACGATACAATAAACAATTTACTGTTATCATTTTGTATTACACTACTGCATGAAAAAAATTCTTAACTAATTTTTATTACACACCAATAAAGTCAGTAAAAATTTAGATTAGAGTATGGAATTATTTAGATTGGCTTTTGAAATAAATAATTTAATATTCAATGGGCAAAAAAATGTCGTCATTTGGTGTTGATCCTTATTAATAGAGAAATTTGTTTAAAATATAAATAGTTAGAAGTAAATCAAGTGCTTTGACACTACTATTTTTAAAAATTCAGAAGTCAGAGTTAATTGTTTTAGCAAGTGAGTCATTCATATGCGCTCCGATGCTACAGACTAGGGAAAATCCGCGCGTTCAACGCAAAGGGAGGCGTAGTGACATAAAGTTCGGAAACCACTGCAATAAACTATTCCGGTCGCGAGGTGAATAAAACAAGGGTTCCATGCTCAGGGATTACACGAGTGCCCAGGAAAGAGTATACCTCGTCGTTACCGTTCGATTTTTTTCAATTCGCGCCGACTGGACCGTAATTCTAATCGGGGCGACCAGTCGCATTCGTCTTCGGGAACTTCGTCGCCGTCAGCAGGTTCCGTCGATTCTGTAACGCAGTGCGCGCAAAGTGCAGCGGGGCAGGTGTCCGCGCTGCAATCACGGCAAATGCGCATTCCAGCGAGCCAATTTACTAGCTTTCTCGAACTCGGCGCTGTCGTGCTCGTAAGAACGATCATTTGCATATACGCAGCAACGTGTTGCCGGCAGGGACGAGTCTCCCCGGCTGGTCACGGAGGATACAATGAGACCGTTTGAATTGCTCGCACGTACACGCGTGTCCTTTCGTTCGAATTTTGATATTGCGCGAGGTGCCGGCCGCGAGTCGCATGACAATCGGTTTCTCTTGAAAATCCTTTTTCCGTTGTAATTGTCGATTCGCCGCTACGTCTCGCGCACCTCGTCTTTTTTCCCCCCCTCTGGCCGTCTGCTTTTTTTCTTTATTTCCATTCGAATAGTTTTCACGCATTTCCCTATGGCCGCGATGCGGCTTGACTAACAGATTCGATCGTGCACTTTCGGAACAACAATTGGCTCTCGACAATGCCACCTTATCTTTGGTTTCTCGGCTTGCTCGGTATTTTTAGCCGCGACCAGACGCTTCCTTGCCATTCGTCGTTTCTAAGTTTTACTGAATCGTTTGGAGTGTTTGATATGTTTTTGTTTGGAATGAGGAAGCAATTTGTTAGTTTGAATTGTAGCTTTATTATAGTTAACCGTTTGCTTGTTACATTCGATATTTTTGTAGTACGTATTATTAGAATCTAAAACATTATAGGGTTTTTAATGAGAGTTTCAATTATTAGTAGAATGTTACATATTACTAAATGAAATAAATTTTTTGAAAAAGATATTCGTCGGATGGGTAGTCCATAGATTTTAGAAAATATAACAGTATTACTAATATTTAAACAATCTTATTATTTGTACTAGAGATGATCAGTACATTGTGATGTAACATTCATTAATTATTTTAGTCATTATTTTAATGAAGATGGAGAAGTTATACTGTGTTAAAATAATGATTCTGTAATGATAGTAACAGTAGTAATAAAGGTCAAAGCACCATTAGTGTTACTATAATATTGTTTCAGAAAAATCGACATAGTGGACCAAAGAAGTTATTATAAATATTATAAAATAGTATTCCTGAAATTAAACAAAATTATTTACAACATTCATTATAATAATTTTTAATCCAAAATATACTTATTTACAATTTATTAACATCTCCTCAAGGCTTCTTTTGACAAGAGTATTTCTTCGTTACGTTTGTTGCTTACAACTGTTTAACTATGCATAATAAAACAAATACTACAACTAAATGTTACGCAATCCAACAAAAGTTACTAAAATAAAAGAAAACAATAAACAACTAGTCTATTAACTCTGATCAAGCCCTAGGATCTTTTTCGACCCAAATCGAGATTAACTTTTACTATGATCTTTTTAAGGAACAAATAAAGGTAAAAAAATGAAGGATAGCTACTTTTACCCTTCTATAGTTCCAATTAAACAATTTGCTTATTTTATTTAATCTACGTTATATATTTTCACAACCATTCACAGTTCAGAATGAATCTACTACACCAATTATCATTATGACTGACTCATTCGTACAGTCACCATTGCTTTACATTTTCTTTCATTCATTTAAAATAATAAAAAATATAAATCCTCAATATTATCAGCAAAAGTCGTTCGAACATTCACGATATTACCGTCACATTTCGACTAATGTTGCTAATGTTAATATCAGTACCATTATGGATCTGCGGAACAACTTGCGACACACTATGCTAATGCATGTAAAGTGGTTCTATTTTTGTCGCGGTGTACACTGTTAAGGAATATAATTCTTACGGCATGAATATTAACGCGGCTTCAGTAATTATGATAAACAAGTGTCACAACTTTTTCAAGTTCCGATTACATTACGAAACGTTCAATCGGCCGGCTTTTACGCTGATCACTGAAAACTTCTACGAACCTTCTCCCCCTTCTGCCATTCCATCGATATCCTCCGCCAGAATCGTTATGCATGCCGCGTAAAGATAATTAAGAATAATCGAGCGATCGGCATGCCGGCTGTCGGAACGATCAATTAATTAAACGTGCAACGGTACACCGGTGACTTAATTGCAGGGCCAACGTGTTGGGAAACCGTGAGCTGTCGCCTATATCGGCGAAGTGAACGGCTCGATACGTATCGAGTCGGCTGATACAGCCGTTGAGATTCTTAAATAGTTAATATTCCTGAAGGTTGGCTATTAATAATTCTAATCCATGACCTGGCAGGCCATTCTAATAAATACACCCGCGAACGCGATCATTGCTGAGCGTGTTTCGCTCGTGGAATCGAATGAGTAATTAACCATCGCCGAATGCATAGATACGTGACGTTGCTGGCGGAAAGTTTTCGAGTATTCCGAAATTGTTCGTCGATAAGTGAATCAAAGCAAACAAAGCGAAAAAAAGGCGTAGCTATAAATTTTCCTCCGTTTATTGAAAAAATTATCGAGTTCAAAGGAAACTGTGGACTTCACTTATCCAGATTAAATCTCTTTTTAACACTCGAACTACCGAGCATTTAATACGATTAATATGAAATCACTATAAAAATTGTAATAGATTATTTTGAGTTTCTTCGGACATTCATTATAATATTAAAGTGAAACTATTTATTTTTAAGATCATGTCTAATATTCACTGCTTTTAAGATATCAATAATTCAAACAAAAGAACCGAAACCAATTATTTTTACTGGTACGGTAATTCTAGTGTTAATGGATATGTGAGATTTTGTTTGGTGTAGATGCCAATCTTTTAGTAGCATTGATTATTAGATTTGTGAACCAACAATTTTCTTTAAACAATATGACTTGAGAATTTCTTTTAGAATTATGAATTAATTCTTAAAAAAATTGTTTAGGATAGCTAATTGTTAGATAGTTCTTCATTGTTCAGATTAATTATTTACATACTTTTTAACATAGCACTAATGTTAAGAAGTTTAACAGATTGTCTTTAGGTAAAGTGTTAAGTGGTTTATTACATTGAAAAGAAAATATGGATTTTAGATGCCTAGGTGAAATCCTTTTTTTTTAAATATGTGAACATTCATAATTTGTTAATGATCATATGAATTGAGCGTAATATAATAAAATTAAATAATATTAATGAGATTTGTTGTTTTTTGCGATTTCAGTACACGAGATGAGACCCGAGGACATAGGGATCGTCGGTTTTAGAGGCGATCCGGATAAACAACCCTTCATGGTGGGATATTTCAAGAGTTCTGGTATAAGGGAGAAAAAGGTACGACAAAAGCGTGACGCAAGGAGAAGAAAAAAGAGCGAGTCCTCGAGTTTGGATTATCGGAATAATCCGTACACCGGTAAGTCTGGAAGGTAACGTCCAATGTACCAATAAATTTCTTCACTTGAAACCCTTTCGCAAGGATTTTCATTCACCCAAAAAAAAGCTGTTAAGCAAAAAATTGTCGAGTTAAGATGTTGTGTCATTCTTTATCGATAATAAATCTTTCATTTATGAATCACAAAATAAAATACTTTTCTACCATATTTCTATAAAAAACCTAAATAAACAACTCAAAATTAAAGATAACAAATATTTATGTATATTATTCATATTACAAATATAATTAAACTGAAATTGTTAGGCATTAAAATAATATTCTATAATTCATCAGATAACTGTGTAGTATTATTCTTTAAAAATTCATTGTTTATTTCTAAATTGTAGCTTTGCGGTCTAGATAATAAATATGTTGAACTATAAGAATTTGTGCTTCGATTTTGAAAAAAAGTATACAATCGGTTCTGATGTGTATTTTCTTATCCATTAAGATTTTTAAAGAAGGAAATATTTATTATTAGAAGAAATGATGGTTGCAATTAATTTTGACGTGTTTAACGCTATTTTTGAAGTGCATGTGTTTGCAGTTGTTCGAGTTTGTTTCTTTAACGAAGGAATTTCAACGTCCCTTGAGTTATAGAATCATTTCAAACGTTAACATGATGGTGCACGTACTTAGTTTAGACTTTATTACCCAACTTCTGAGAAGACGGAAGCACGTGTGAACAGACTGTTTTCGCATTTTTGAGCATAAAATAATTCGTCGAAAAAAGACTCTAATTTATTACACATATCACCATGATCTTATTTCATTGTAAAAGGGTTATTATAATAAAATAACTTTACGAATAACAGAAGAGCATGCTAAAAAATATTAATTGAATTTCATTATTTTTCAGATCCAGGAGTGCAGTACAATTCGAAGACTTGCAAAATCCAAACGCTGTACGTTAGCTTCAGGGACTTAAAGTGGCAGGTAAATAAGATGTGTCAAATTACATCATAATACGCAACAACGTCTCAATCTTTCGGCTACATATCGCAGATTCTTCAAATCAATGATATAATATATACAGGGCGATTAAAAAGTAACGCACAAAAATTTAGTTTTCATTTGCTAATCAGTATAAGGAAAAAAGAGTTCTTCGAATAATACTTAAAACTTTCAATAGCTATCATAAGTATTTAAATAGTTATCAAATTCCACTTCCTTGCAATCAACGCTTTTATGGTATAGCTCAATGGTACAAGTGTCACCTGCGGATTAGAGACATCGCGCATATACTAAAACATTATTAAACGCATTTCTTGTCATTTTTTACCTGTGATAGATCTAGATACCTCGATTAGAACTACAAAAGCTCAATTACCAAAACTATATACATATAAAACTTATTATATCATTGCGAAGCGAAAAGCTAGACTGAATTTGCTACTTTGCCAAAGTATTATTATAAGGCCGTTTTTAGTAGTTTTATTTGCACCTGTTTGTAAATAGCTGTATTGTTATGCAAATGAAACTTAAAAAAGAACATCACAAATATCCGTGTGAAGACAGCAAATTTATATTTTGTTCTCTTCATTTCCATTTTTCTCTGCATTTTCATTTTTCATGTTTCTCTTCATTTTCTACTGAATTCTCTTAATTTTGTAGGACTGGATCATAGCACCGGACGGGTACGACGCATATTACTGCAGCGGTGAATGCAATTTCCCTCTGAACGCTCATATGAACGCGACCAATCACGCGATCGTCCAAACGTTGGTGCACCTGGTGAGTCCTGGTAAGGTACCAAAGCCGTGCTGCGCGCCTACCAAGCTCTCACCGATCTCCGTGCTGTATTTTCTCGACGAAAGCAACGTTATACTGAAGAAGTACAAAAACATGGTCGTCAAGAGTTGCGGTTGCCACTGATCGTCCCCCGTGATTAGTAAGCATTGCGCGGACGCCGCGCTACGGATCGAGTCGAACGTGTGAACGACAACCGTCCAATTGGATTTTCAAGCCGGGATCGGCTTTAATAATCATCGGCTCGTGGATTGATTCGAGCCACGACGGATCGAGTAACCTTTAACGACGAATCATCGTGCGTTCTAACGTTTCCAACTACTCGATACTTGACATGATACTAGTTGGACCACGGACTTTAGTCGTTCTCGTAACGCTGCCGCCAGTCTATTATTAGGCAACGGAATTATTTATTGAACTCGTCGATTCGTATGGTCGAGCGATTTTTAAATAATATTTCTGATCTACATATGTTCACTCCACTTTCCGAGATTTTTCATTCGCTGCAAATCCAATGCTACCGTATCTTCGTAACATCGGAATGTTTTCATATGGTTTAAATTGGAATACTCGACTTTAATTCCATAACAGTTGTTGTATTATTGAGTTTTTCGGAACCTATTAGGATAGAAACATTACGAATGTGAAATTTGTTGGCATTTATTGAACGAAAGAAGATTGAAAATAAATAATATAATTACGTGTTCGAAGCAAAGGTTTATGATTTGATTAGAAAAGGTTTTGTAATAAAATCACAAGATTTAATTTAAAACTATACTATACTGTACAACTTTCATTTGATTATCATAAAACACAGTTTAGCCCTTTAGGTCTCAAATGGCGTTAAGTAACTTATCATTTTTAACAAAAGTAAATATTTTTATAAACAATCCTATTCTAACTGTTGAAAAAATAAGCGGTTACTGCTATATCAATATTATACTGGTGGCTTCGCGAATAGTCCTCTGATTCGCATTTTACTGATATTGAAATATGATGTTCCAAGGCGATACCATCGGGAACTAAAGGGTTAAGATATTTTGAAAACTGATAACTGGAATAAGTTTGTGCGGGGATCTATTTTCATGGAGAAGATCTTGGTCATCTTTCTTGCGAAACATAAATTTTTGTTTAGAACTTTGATTGTGATAGAAACTTACTATTAAAGTTGGTTTCTTGATTATCGATACAGGGGAGATACGTTCAGTAACTGGTGGTACACTATAATTTACCACAGAAAATTTTTGTAAAAATCGAAAAGACGAATCTTTGAGTTCATAGTATTACTAATCGCTCAAAATATGTACATCGATTTATGAACGAGACTTACAAAGGATCATACCAAAATTATATCTGCCGATTTTTATGAAATTTTGGTAGAAAATATTTCTTGCAAATGTATCTGAAATGTGTCTTTTATGTCAGTCATCATACATATTAAAAAAATTAAAATAGTCTTTAAATTTTAGAATAAAAAACATAGATACTTGGTTGAATATTCTAAAAAATGATGATAATAGAAGGATGTTATACGTAACGAAATAATAAATCTATTTTTTAACTTTAAAAGAAAATACTATTTTTTTATCAAAAATATTGTTACAATAAATGTAAATCTATTAAAAATATAAGTCTCTTTTATCTTTAGGAAAATTTTTAATGTTAAAAAAGTTCTAATTATATCTCAAAAATTATGCTTAACTTTAACTTTTTGTCTTTAACTTTTAACTCTAATAGTCTCACAAATATATTAAATATGTTTCTCAACTCCCAACTTTGAAGGCTTCACTCTTTCTTGTCTTCACTCCTTCAGTCTGAATGATAATTAATAAACAAAACTATATCTCAAACATATTTGAGCCAATTCTTTACCAAGGTTTCATAAAAATCAGCGAATAAATTTCAGTATGTTCCCTTGTTAGAGATATTATTATGAGTCGGTTCGATTCAGTCCGATCGAACTTAGTTTCAGCGTCTGTTCGCCTATGCTCAATGTAAAGGACAAGCTGATCGATGGCAGGGTTCAAGCATAAGCGGAAGAACATCGGTCGTCTGGTGCCAAATTTTGACTAGTAGATAGTGTAATTTTCGAAACAAGTGCTTCCGTACTAACGATCGTAAATAACTTTATACTGGTGACGATGGGAATTCCGATCGATCAATTGACGTGCAATCCGACGCGTGATTTGTCCATTTTTTAACGAATATGCAGTAATATATATACATATACGTAACAGTCCGAGACTTTTATCAATACTCCGGATAGTTTCTCTTTTTTTTCATATTTTTCTTCTTCTCCTTCTTTTACCTTTTTTCCTGTTTTTTTTTAATCAACTCAAATGTAGCATCTAACGTCCAAACGTTCAATCAGTTGATATGTCGTTTAGTGATATTAATTTAATGATTCGAACCTCGATATTATAGTCTGACGATGAAGAAGAAATGAGAACATCGTTTTCAAGAAAATCTCTTTTCCCCTCTTTTTTTCTCTCTGCTTCCGTCTCTCTTCCTCTCAATCACACACTTTGTTCTTTTGTTATTGTTCCAGGAAACACTCGGACTTGTGTTTTCTGCGCGTCAAAGGTATCTTTGTAAACCGGTAGCAAAAAAATGAATAATATTTTGTAATTAGTCTTATTTATGTTTGTAAGTAAAGCGTCTCCTCGAGTGAACAGGAACAATGTTTATTAATACTCGTAGCAGATTCATGCGTGTACAAGCTGTTTCATAATGTAACACGAATCCCAAAAGTGAAAGATTTCGCGAGCAAACGTGAATTGTTTCTTGGCAGTTTCGTGAGCTCTTTTCTGTTTAAATGAAGAGCGTGCGAAAGCATCGAGAATCAAATTAACTTTCGCTTAGAAATCTTTTATTAATGAAATGCCATTTATCACATTCTCTACGATCAGCTAAATTCACTAATTTCATTTTCCACTAAAAACAACTTAAGTAATTTGATTAGTTAAACTGCCATAAACAGTATATAAAATGTCAAAATAAATTGTTTTCTAAAATGGTAGTTATCAATGGACAATCTTACTTCATGGTCCTGAGTTTTTCTAACAAAACTTTTGGAAAAGTATTTTTGAAAAATGTTTTTTAATCATGTCTTGATTTTTAAAAATGTTAATTAGTAAATTTTAGCTGAATGCGGAGAATATGAAACATTTTACAGAGTGGACCAAAACATATCATTACATAATAATGGAATAATGGAATAAAAATAACTATCACAAATATTCTATACGATACTATACGAAACGATATATGCTTATTTTATAAATTATTAAAACTGTTTTGATAATTTAAGTTTGATAGTAAAATTCTAATATCCATTATTACATAGGTAAAATATAAAGGATTGAGGGTTTATTCCATATTCTGTGATTTTCATATCTGAATTTTAAATTCTTTGGCCAAAGTTCGTTCAAAAATGAAAAATTTCACCAAGGAAGATATTAACAATGATTCTGTGTTAAACATTATAACGACATAAAGCAATATACTTTATCGTGTTTTCGAATCTAACGACTGTGCTTACCGCAGTACCTCCAATGGAGTAGACCAAGGCGAATCGAATTAAAATAAGAATCCAGCCTACATTTGTTATATGGCGAATTATATTCCTCATTTCTCGTTTTCAAACTGCAAAAAAAAATTTTTTAATTCTTTTCGACTAATTATTACTAATATTTAAGTGTTTTTATTTCTTCATTGTCAAAGAGAGGACGGTTTGATTCGACTTGGTCTACTTTATATATATTAAAGAAGTAAATTACATTGAGAAATTTTATTTCACCTATAACGATTTCTTTTGTTTATTAAATGGTATTTAACCATAATAACTGTTCGATTAAGATGGTGATAGTTTATAGGTCCACTCTGCGTATACAAATATGTGTACTTCTCCTTTCCACGTATGCAAATGTAAAATAAAAAATGGAATTATGCGTGCACGTGTAGAAAGAAATTTGATTAACACGACTTTGTAGTACCGTCACTACCATGCGAAGAGAATCAGATTGTTGAATAACATCAATGATGCTAGATTACGACGAACGTGCGTAAAATCACGAATTGAACGAAACCTTACGTGCAATAGATGCGAGAACTTAATCTTAATTAATTAAACGGCTTATCGTACGGCTTTTTCTTTGTCCCTTTCTCTTTCTCTCTTAATTTTTTTTCTT